GTACCGGTGGACAGTGCAGCAAGAGTGACTGATGGCAACCCTGTAAATAGTTCTCCGTAGTCTCTTGTGTTGTAATGTAAACGTGCTGTCGGTGTGTGTGTGTGTGTGTTTCTGTGTGTGTGTGTGTGTGTGTGTGCGCGCCCGTGCGTTCTGGGTTTAACCACTTGGTGGCGTTTATTGCACCCGTACTGTTCATACTCACGATACACTCACACTGCCCACCATGTGTATTAGGAGTGAGCACAGTGGGCAGTGCGAGTGTATTGTGAGTATGAACGATACGGGTGCAATAAACGCCACCAAGTGGTTAAACCCGGAACCGTCTTGGCCTGACTACTGCATGCAACATGGGTCTGCAACCCACTCTTACAATACTATTTGTAGCAAGTGATTGGTGATGCACAAAGTTCTGTGAACAAATCTGGATATTCACTGTGTGATGATTTGATGATGAGTAAGTGGTTACTGTACATAGTGTCAAAAATTTACAGGTATTAGGGATGTGCATCTCCATTACTGAGGCCAATGCGATACACATCTACTGTAGATACATTGCTAACAATCTGATACATTACAGATACATATGAAGAAATTAAGTCTACTGTGATACGATATAATTCACCACTATTGTAATGCAGTGCAATTTCACGGGATTTGATTCAACACAATGCGATTCGACGATATGATGCAATGTAAAAGATTATGATGCTATACAATTATACTGTATATGGAAAGCTACACAAAGGAGGTGAGAGACCGTTCAGATGGAATCAATCTAAATATGTGTGTGTGTGTGTGTGTGTGTGTGTGTGTGTGTGTATCCAGTGATGGACAGGCATCCCATCCTAGGTGTACCCCAGCAGTAACTGCCATTCAAACCATGTATTTGCATGGGGTCCCTGGGATCTGGGGGCACCCTGTTGGGGGGCACACTCAGCACACTCGATATTAAATGAACGTGTTCCTTATTTAGGAGGCACCGAAGCAGCACGTTCTGCTAACCAGCTACTGTATCATATTCTGATTCTACTCAATATCCAGACCAGTCATTTTTGCAAAAATGTTTCATTCTTCTGTGCATAAGCTTATGTTTAAATAAAAGATCCTGAGACTCTGTACCTATCTACTGTACCAATTAACATCAGCAGCAAACACCCAATCAGTGCAGAGACCTGTGAAATCTGATATTTTTATGGGACCCACAATTGGCAAGTCTGCTTATTCTAAGTGACTTTGGGTTTGTTTTTCTGTAAAGTCAATTACAAATATCGTTAGTAGGTGGTTGTGGGGTTTTGGGCTTGTTTCTGAAGTCTAGCTGCTGATTTGGGCTTGTTTCTGACGTCTACTTCCTTATTTGGGCTTGTTTCTGACGTCTACCTGCTTATTTGGGCTTCATTCCCAGGTCTCCTCGTATCATGGCAGTTCGGCCATTGCCTAGCAACGAGAACATTGCAAAATGGTATTATGTAATTCCCTGCAAAGTCATGACTTTCAAAGTCTGATCGAATTTGAAGTATTTTTGCAGTTATGTACTATGTTTCACTCTACTCTTACATCCCACTCTGCCCTTTCCAAATTTGCTGCCCTTTCCTAAATGGCCTGGTGACACTCCTGAAGTCACAAGCAGCCCTGAATAAATCCCTAAAATACTGGGGCTTTGCCTCAAATCACAAATGTGACAGATGGATGATTCGGTTGCATGTCAGGGTGGTACGTGCACAAATGCATTTTGGAGACAACTCCAACAGTGAAAATCTGATAAGACGCTGACGAAAACTCGTCTGTTTTGTCTTCTAAAAATGGTATCTGTGGTTTTCTCACCACAGGAGCTATGATCATATCCACTGCCTGTCTTGGGTAGAGGTGGTGGTACCAGTTCCTGCTAGGAGTGACAATAATACCCAAACAGAAACTGTAAGGGCACAACACAGACCCCCCCCCGCATTTCTCTGTCTGATTTAAGTGTATAGTTTGTATGTGAAATCAAATGGAAAAAAAATGTCTTTCCTCTACAAGCCTCATTTCTTTGTTTCGTTTAGCACTTCTACACTGGTACATTGTCAAACCAAATTAGGTAACATTAGAAATGTATTAACCTAATTAAATTCATTTAAGCATTCACTTTTATCCATGTTCCTTACCTGGGTTACACAAACACTTATGGGAGCAGGTGAAACTCGACCCAGTTTTTGTGATGTTACCACAAGGCAATCCTTATAAATATCAACATCTGCACCTTTGATCTGTTGTTGGATGAGTCTGATAGAGATTCTGTTATGATGGGGCATGATGCAGAGAAGGCCCTGCTATGGCATGACATGGTACAGGCAGGAAAAAGGTGACGACCCACTGAGGGTGTCATGACCTGCTCGTACAATCCTCGTGTGTGCTACGCCCCCTCCTTAAACACCTGTGCTGCCCCGTTTGTAATCAGCTGTTTCCAGTGATCTCTGATTAGTCCTGTATATTAAAGTCCGTGTCTGAGTCCGTTTCCCTGGGGCTGTCATTGAAGTCTCATTGTGTAGTGTTGCCGTCCGTTGCCTGTTCCATGTCCCTAGTCCCTTTGTCGATTAAATCCCGTATCCCCCAATCTTACGTCTCCTCCTGCTTCCCCGTCTCGCACACCGCTACTGATTGTGACAGAGGGCTCCAAGACAAAAAGGGGTTTATTAAGGAATCTAACAACACTGGATTAGGCACAAAATAAAGGACTGCAATGGGGTCAGACAAAACAAGAATTAACTACAAGAGCCATAAGGTAACAGGATTAGGCAATGGAATAGAGTGGCAATGGAATAGAGTAACAAAGACGCAGTAACTTGACATAATGACTGACTAACAAATGGAGTGAGGGCAGGCACTTAAATACACACAGAGAATCAGGGCAAACAAGGAACAGGTGTAAATCATAATCAAATTAACAAATCAAAAGGACTCAAGAAACAAGAAACAGGTGAAGTGGATTACAATTAACAAGCACTGGAACTGGGATACATTAACAAACACTAAACAGTCCAGAAGGGGCCGCCGTCCAGGCAGAGTCCCGAGTCCCCAGCCCAAATGCTGCTGCTGCCTCGCCAGAGTCCAAAGTCCCTGGGTCAGAATGGGCTATTCTGCCTGTTCTCAGTCCTAAGAAGGACAGGGGGTTTCTTCACCCCCGGCAAGGCCACATTTGGCCCCTGTTCCAAGAGGAGAAACTAGAAGAAGCTAGCCGCACCCACTTCACCCAAGCCTTTAAAGCCTGGCCCAGATGGAGCCACACAGTCTGAGTCATCGGTCACCAACTCAGATGGGGCCCCTCGGCAGCAGCCTCCAGAGTCCAGCCCACGGGGGCCCACTTTTCCCGAGCCTTACCCAGAAGCGGGCGCTGCTCTGCCCAAGCCAACCACCAGCTTAGCCCATTAAACCACACACTGCAGCCTGGTGAACAGAAGACCACACAAGGAACTAAGAACATGATGGCCAAATGGGGAACTGACATAAAGAAGGGAAAGGACTGGGACCAATCCTAATACACTCAGGTTTAATGTCACATCACAGTTTACATACTGTAGCATAAAAAGTGAGTGAAATTCTCGTGTTTTGAGCAGCAAGCAGCAATGAGGTAACAGTAGCCATTTAACCATATCTTATTTAGCAAACACTTTTGTCCAAAGCAAAACATGTGGAAAAGTGATACATATTAATGGTGGTAACTAGGTATAAATATAAATAGATAATAAATATACATGAGAAGTAGAAGAGGTAACAAATTATTATTATTCTGGGGTGAATAGATGTTGTATGAAGTTTCCTTAGTAAGATGACAAAGAATCATAAGGGTTTTTTTGTATGATATCAAGGAGACTCTTCCAGGGAATGTTCCAGAAAAGTTACTTATAATTGATGATCCATCCATCCATTTTTTACACCTGCTTGTCATGGGGGTCGAAAGCCTATCCCAGAAGCTACGGGCAGAGAATAACTCAGGACGGGGCGCCAACCCTTCACATGGCCCACACGCTATTAACACAGCATTCACACCTATGGACAATTTGGCAACTCCACTTAACCTCGGCATGCTTCTGGGCTGCGGCAGGAAACCCCATATCAACATGCAAACTCCACATATTAACTGACATACTTGTTGTTTTCTTTCCCCAGAATTTTTTAGTTAGTAATGTAGAACAAACTTATTCTTGCCCATTCATACCCATGACAATTTTCACAGAGGAGCTGATAATTATACTACAGATACAATTATTATAGTGTTTTGTTAGCTTGTTTTGGCTTCTCCACTTCATACTGAGAAGTGTTTAGGTTTTGCAAAGTGATGAGAGAGAGGAATGTTTTTGAGGTTTTATATGAAGAAAATGACAACGGTTTAGCAGTAAATAAGAAGCAAACAGGACGATTGCTATGCGACCTTAAGACATCCGGGGCTTCGTCACACAGACCAAATCTGCCTGCGGGTTCTCTTGCTTATAGTTACTCATTAGGCGCTCGTTCGGGTGAAGCCTCGAACGCCCCAGAATCGTCTGCATACAAACATTAAACTTTTTAATTTCCATCCATCCATTTTCTATACTCGCATACAAATTTATATGTTATATGGTACGCTGGCACTGTTTCTGTTTGTATGAATGAAAATGACAACATTTTCAATATTGCATGTATTTGTTGTTATTTCTTGTTCCAGTATTTAATGGAAGGTGCCACAATAACAGGATTAATTATGTAAACTTCAAGGGATTAAAAAGCAGTGAATTTAGATACTGTATACTGTTAACATTAAAAGGCTGTGGAACTGCAAACGGGAATGTCTGTAACCTAATTATTCAAAGCCGCCACAGCCAGTGATTTAAACTATTAGTTAAGATGAAACAAACCTGTGATGTATATTATTTGGCGATGTTACTGTATTATAACTTACCTATACATTTATTAAATTGTGTTGCCATGGGAACTGCACGTGTTGCTTTAATGTCGCGGCTTCCGTGACAGTGTTTTAATGGGTGTGGCACTATATGACAAGTGTCAGCTTAACCACATGTCTGCCAGAAACGCCATTGCTAGACCTATGATGGTAACACTCAAAACGCTATGAAGTTAGGATGAATGAAGTAATCTGACTTAAAGCGAGTAAGTATCAGCTGCATTTTAAATGTAGTTAAAACAGGACAACTTACGTATTACACAATTAGAGTTCATTATTAATATTAATATTATTGTCGTTGTTATTACACTACACACACTACAGCATAAGACTGTTTTTGCACGCATAATTTATTTGCTCTAAATATGTCATAAGATATTTCAAGACTATTTGAAGATTAATCCTCTTAGTTGCCGGAGTTCTTCAGCAACCCTTATCACGTTTAAACGGTTTACTATAAACGCGAGTTGCCAACTTTGTCAACTTTGATCAGCCGGCTGGAGTGAGGTTTTCAATTCGAGACAAACTCTGCACACGCATTCTTGTGTAGGCTTGTGACAGTTTTATTACCTGCCCTGCATTTTCGATGTAGCTCATTTCAGGTTTATAATGGGATTTTACAGATTTGCGGTAAGATTTCTCGCGTGAGAGTCGCGCCAGATGCGTGAGAGCAGGCAGCCCCGTAACGGAAAGCGACAATAATAAAAACAGGAAAGTACGGTACTTTTTTAAGTAGCCTTAAACGTGGTTAGCGTTGTAGAACTTTTGTCAGGGGAATAATAATAGAAATATATATGGGAAATAATAATTCCCTTGCCGTCACTGTGTGACATTTTATCATAGTAAATATTAATGTAGGCCTATGAGAAAGTGTGTGATGAGTGAGTGATGAGCGGCGGCGGTATTGCATGCTGCATCATGGCGCTTCCTGAAACAAACCGCATTGGTCTCTAAACACGGAACATCTGCGCCGTTTGTTTCTTTTCCTTAGAAACGAACAGAAAACAAACCGTTTGCTAAGACACGGCTGCTGTAGTGCTGCGAAGGACCGTCTGATATGCAAGATCAGAGATTCACAGGCGGGCATGGTCACAGTGATAGGGAAGCCAGGCTCCTGCCTGCCCATGCTTGACTTATTTAGCCCTGAAATATTCCGCTTTTCATCCTTCCGAGAAGCATTTCAAAACATTTCCGGGCTGATTGTCTTCTGTTTTGTTTTTGATGGTAAATTTTAGTTTCACAAGGTACAGGAATACAATGTCATTATTGTTAAATGTAATGTAGTTGTATAAATTTAGTAGGCACACTTGCTTAGATTGCTCTCTTCACATTGTTAATTTTGTTTCTGTAACAACTCACCTATATCTTGGCTAATTCCAGCAAAAAAAGTTGTGAACAATTGCAGAAGGTGCTGTACTCAAGGTATTACTCAGGGTTACTAGTTGCAGTGTGTATTAGGAAGCAACTTCACGTGGCCTCAAGCTTCTTGTCAAAGTCATTTATATACTGTAATACCCAGGGACTGAGTTTTAGTAGTTTATTGATTCAGAGTAATGAATGGAACCTGCATAGATTTTCAATTGACTATAGCCACATAGATATCATAGTATTAAGACCATATGTATTGAGAAAGTTAATGTTATATTACCTGGGTGACATGGTGGTTTAGTGTTTAGCATTGTAGCCCACTGGTAAACTCAGGGGGGAGCGGGGGGGACAAGTGCCTTGTGACTGAAGAAATGCTGCTTAGGTGCCCTTTTGGGTGGAAAAACGCCGCTTTTGGGTGCCCTTCACATGATTTTGCCCTCTTCATGTGAGGAGATGTGTCCTATAGAGCAAGAAAATAATTATGAAGTGTATTAATGAGTGCCCTTCTAATGGAAAGGGTGCAGTTATGAAGTGCCCTTCTAGTGGAGAGAATGTGATACAGTGCCCTATAAGGTGCCCTTACAATGGTCTTAGTAGCCCCTTCCAATGGCAGAAAATGGGATACGGTGTCCCACTATGAGATGCAGTTTCCTGTACATGCGATAAAAGTAAATGAATAATATACCGTCTAGGAGTTCCTCTTTATACCAAATTGCAATATCTAGGTTGCCTCTGTAGTCCACAAAGCATTAGCTTAACAATCTTAATCAGGGACTACTTCACCAAACATAGTGTACTGTACCATTCTATATGTGTTGGGGGGGCACATGTCATGCAATAGGTGCCCTTTTCATTTCTTCGTCCCTATTTCATCATATATTGCAGTGCTGTTTGTCCTGTATTGCAGTGCTGGTTGTCCTGTACTGCATTGCTGTTTGTCCTGTGCTGCACTGATGTTTGTCCTGTATTGCAGTGCTGTTTGTCCTGTACTGCAGTGCTGTTTGTCCTGTACTGCACTGCTGTTTATCCTGTACTGCACAGCTGTTTGTCCTGTACTGCACTGCTGTTTGTCCTGTGCTGCACTGATGCTTGTCCTGTACTGCACCGCTGTTTGTCCTGTACTGCACTGCTGTTTGTCCTGTGCTGCACTGATGCTTGTCCTGTGCTGCACTGTTTGTCCTGTACTGCACCGCTGTTTGTCCTGTCCCCCGATACAATACCCTGAAACTGTTGCTTCCGACTGTGTTCCTTGAAACACATGTGACAGTGAAATCTAGAAATCTACTTTGCTCTCTGTGCTCCAGATCTTCTTATGAAGGTGTTTGATCTGGTTTTCATGATGTCACACTGATTTGTTCATTAGTGAGTGTGTGTGTGTGTGGGGGGGGCGGCGGTAGTGATTGTACCGTAGGGGATGAAGCTGATGACAGTTATTCTCTTGAGATAGAGTCATTGAGGTATTAATCCAGTTTTGTGGTAATGTTTGAGATTGTTATTTTGTGGTGTTTAAAACTGCAAAAATATACATTTATTATATACTTAGTCTCCCCCACATTGGCTAATGCACTTTTTATTCTGCCCACCCCTCCTGGGGTGTGCTGCCTGGAGACCCCCTCCCCCCCCAAAAGATAAAAAATCAAATAAAGATATTGTGCCTGTGTTGTGCCTGCTGCCTGTGACGTCTCTCCAGCCTGCCCCCCGCTTTGAGACCCAAACCCTAAAACTTGGACAGTGTTAATTGGTATTTTGCCATCTTGTTCATGTGACTTTGTGTTCATTTTCTTTTTGGGGTTGTTAAGGAAAGTACCATCACTGTATCGCTGGCTATCCTATCAAACTTTGATATCGACTTGACATTCCTGTCCTCATTGGCCATTAAAAGTGTGCGTCATTTAGTTTCAGTGCAATTTTCCTGATTGCACTCTTTGCCTTCATCTTACAGCATCAACTTTTGGAGAAAAAAAGGAGATGCTTACAGTCCAATCATGTCAAAAGTAAGTCTCAGCTCCTGAATTTCTTCTGCTTTCATTGGCTTGATAATGCTGATAGTAACGATTTAGGTGTCACAGTTGATTCAAATATAAAAGACTTGATAATAATGGATCGAAAGATAAAATTTATGTTAAGACACCATGTTACTATAAGTTCAACAGATCATCTGAACTAAATCCGTAAGAAATCGGCAAGTATTTTTATTTATTTTGTATTATTTTTTTATCGTTGGAAATTATTATTATTCATGAATATTATTATTATTATTAGCTGACATGTTATAGTTTGTTATAGTTTCCAATCCAGACTGTATTGGGCACATTAAAATGATCTATAGCAGCAAAAAACAATTGAATGGCACTTTGTTTTGCAGCCTATCCCCATTATCACCTGGGGGTTGTGAGGACCACCTCTCCGTCAGCTCCCTAGCAGAATCTCCAAGCTCCTCTCGCCGTAGCACCCGCCTCCTCACCAATGGCTACTATGTCCTGTCAGACGACAGCATTCTGTCCGAGGATGAGGGAAACATCTCCCCCTCTGCCTCCCAAGCTAACATTTCCTACAAGGAGAACATGGTTCGGTGAGTGCTACCTTGGTTCGATACCAGACTTTGGACCGCGTTTCCCAGTGGCCTTCATTTCTCCCACACTTCCCTCATGTCTAACAGATTCACTGGGCCAGGAAAGTTATGGGATGAATTTTGGAAATTATATTTGTCCTCTCTGCAAGTAATAGGGGACAAATTGAGCCAACAAATAAAATCGCTGTTTTGCTCCCTAGCTAAAGTGAACAAACTCACTCCTCACTCCCACACACAGCAGCCACTTATTTTAATACTAATTGCTCAATTTGACCCAAACTTCGGCCCTCCCCGGCAACATGAGCTTGTGTTGACAAGTTTTACCTGTTGCTCAATACACTATTATTTGCACTCCTCTGGAAGATGTTCTGGAGAAAGGTGTCTGCCAGCAAGATAACCTCCTGAGACCCTATGTCCTCATATATGGACATCATTTTTGTTTAAAACTACTAATTGTTCAAAAAAAATAATGTTTGGTTTTTATGATTATGAGGTCCTACTAATTCTAAATTGCTAAGGGAAATAAAACATGCACAGCAAACAAAAGCCCGGGACTCAGGAGGATAAGAGTAAATATACATTTTATTCAGTGTTTTTTTTTCCATATCTCCACCTTCCATGGTGCTGACCCAGTACATCTTATATTTAATTTTAAAAAATAGATTTCCCACCTTAGGAGCAATAAAATATATCTTATCGTACAGTTGTGCAATGAATACAAATATTTTCTTATATCATTTTTTCCCCATCCATTTTTCATAACCATTCATGCAATGCAGCATTACAGTTAGAGCAAACTGCTCCTTCAGCAGGAAGTGCAGATGTATCAGATATCCCCAATTCACACATATCACATGTAGCCTGCAAACTCTGCTTTTGAAGGGGGCAGTTACAGGATGGTCTGTGTGCCATTTTGCACTCCTTGTAGAGTGTTTAACAGACGCAAGAGGAGGTCGTTCAAGTCACTGGCCAGTGTGTTTCACATGAGCCAATCGCATGAGTCCTTGCTGGAGGGGAAGGTGCCTGATAGGATGCCTCAGTCCACGCTTACCCACACAACATGGATGAAGGGCACTGAAGAGGGAGATGGCGACTTGATTCGAGGTGGGTGAACAAGCATGTGTTCGTGTTATAAACCAGCGGTTCTCAAACTGTGGTGCATGCATCACCATGTGAGAAGATTGGTCATTTTCTATAGTTTATTAATCCCCATGGGGAAATTCACAAGCATATATGAAGGTGAGAGCAAGCTTGGGGGTGTGACAGTGAAGGGTCAGCCACATTGTGGTGCCTGAGGAGCTGGGGGTTATGGGTCTTGGCCAAGGGACCGTGGACCTGTGACTCTTCTGCTGAGGCTGGGCTTTAACCTGTAAACGTCTGACCACAAGCACAGAGGCTTAGCCTGCTAAGGCTTAGAGACACATACTATCCCCAAATTATTATTCATGTTACTGTCATTTTTTCACCCATGTGGTATTTTGCTGCTTTGGTTAGATCCAAATTGGTACCCCGTCCAAAAAGTTTGAGAACCACTGTTATAAAACCACTATTTTTGGGTATTTTGTGCTTTTCCTATTTTTTATTACTTGTACTGTATGCTGTAAAGCGCTTTGAGATGATGTAATGTTGTGATAATGCGCTATACAAAAACAACTTACTCTACAAAGAGCAAGATGAGGGAGGTGTAAAGACAATTTCCCCACAGGGATCAACAATAATTTTTTTATTTTTGTTTTTTGTTGTTTTTGATGTGGATCTTTGTTGTCTGATATGAAATAAACTTACTTATTACTTTTAAGGCTGATAATTTTGCCTCAATATCATTTTTTCCATAGAAAGTTGGAAACAGTATGCTTAAGCGGGAATACCTTAAATAGATTTTTAAGTTTTTCCAAATGTTATTGGAATATATCTTGCATCACCTCAGTAACTGTAGAAAGGAGAGTGAGCCAGTGTCTATGTATTGTCCAGATCATGGTGCAATTCCAACACATCCAGAGAAAACTACTCCGCAGACTCACCAAATGGGGGGGCTGCATGATTTGCCCCTGGACAACGAGGCCTGCTTTTCTAAGGAGCAGTTCAGTCATTCCCTGGGCGGGATCCTGGACATCGCAGCTCAGTCGCCATTCACTGCTACGAAGCTCCGTCAAATGAAACTGCTGACAGGTGAAATGTCAGGCTAACAAACACAGCTTGCATGCTCATTCATTTTCTACTATACTGTAAGATTCAAAATATTTAAATTGTTTATCAAACTTGTTTTATGAGTTCAGTGATTTTATTAAAGTATTCCCATAACAGTATGAACACCTCATGATATTTTATAATCCTTATTTAAAAATCCTCATCCAAAATATGAATTAGTAATGCTACATAAAGTAAATTTCCTTTGGTTTATAGGGAAGTAAATGCAGTTACAGTGTTGTAAAATTCTTCCTGCTTTTCAGGCTCTAAGACCCAGAAAGTTCTATTCTTCATCATCATTCTGTTAGTCTGTCTTCTTACAGCAGTGTTCTCATGGTAAGACCTGAAATCTCACATACTGTACTTAGTCTGGCTGATAACTAGCCAGTGATTTTATGATCTAACTGAGCTAAACTTGCCATCTGCAACAGCCTTAGCCGTGCCTCTGTTGGCTTATTATTATAAAGCTTCTACACATTTAAGTCACATGAAATAGTGCACTATGCGCCCTAATGTTGCATTGTGTTCACCAAGTGCTCCTGGAAATTAACTGGCATTTAATTTTGATACAGTTATTTTTCATTATATACGTCATTTACCTTACAGGTGGATCTTGGGGGGTCTGCTTTTGGCTTGTGTTACCTTTACCTTGATTTTGGCTTCCTATTGTAAGTTATTTCTCTTAAAATAGAACTAATGACCACAAAACGTTAAAGTTTTTTTTTTTCTAATTATCGATTTCAAATGATAATTTCTCACAGTGCTTACAAATACAACACTTCGGACCACAAGACTGCATGAAACAGCGGTGAGTGTTTCTTCTTCATGTTTTAATAATAATACCCCCTTAAAATAAAATTTTGCTTAACAATGATCTCATAGTACTCTTCTAATAAACATTTACTAATTAATTTCCACTGTTGCATTACAGGGAATCACCTCCAATCAGGAATAGCAGATTAAGGGGAAAAGGAAGACATATATAAACTAAATATGATCATGTATACACACTTAATGTCTGTCATACATTTTACAAAACATACATTTTATTATGCACATTCTGACAAGATTGCCAAATATTTTGATGTACAGTTTGTTTTGGAAAGTATGGGAAAAATCAATTTTATCTAACGGCGCACATATAGTATTTAAGTAAACAAATAACTACTTTTTACATAGTGTTAAAGCTATAATTGATTGTGACGATATAGGGGGTTTTGTGACTCAGCTGGTACCTCTGGAGTGTAGGTTCTCCTCTCCTCACTCCTCCACGTGTTTCTCCTCTTGTCATATGGTTTTCCTCCCTGGCGTCCCGTCTAGGGTGTAGCCCAGCCCCATGCCTCATGCTACCTGGGATAGGCTGCACCCCAACCCCCCCTACCCCCCTGTGGATATACACATTAGGCAAGGATTGAAATAGTGATCAAATTAATCAGTTGCTATTTGTGCTGTTGAGTTTGTGTTTGTCACCAGCTAGTTGTCCCATGAACATTGCAGCTGGTATATCATGTTCTCACTGAACATTCATGAAATGTTTCTTTTTCATAAATAAGAAAGCTGTTATGGGACTCACACAAAGGCACACATCTTGAAAGAATATAGAAGAGTTATTTTAAGTAGTTGGTTAATCCCCTAGTAACTGAAAACTGTAGAAAACTTTCTATGCAGCAGTTTACCGGCAAAAATGAGCCGCTACGGGGCTAACTTTGTGTTAGCATTGACGCACACTTTTTAAATATATATATTTGCCTTTTTTCTATCTTTGTGACCAATAATCAAGACACTTTAAAATAATTTATTAATGAATAAACTTCCTGGGTAGTTTGCATAATAAAGTTGTTCATTTGTATGAACCGTTTTTAACAACTTAAATACGTGGCACCATAACATTAATAAAAACAAACACAAAACCACTTTGGTAACTGCAATAAACATAAGCAAATATCTGCATCATGTTTTCAAAAGAGCCATATAATGTGTTGCATTCACATGTGGTATCATGTTTGTGTTGTATTAGAAGCCTCCCATGTTGTGATCAGTTTATTTCATGTTATATTGGCAGCGCGATGACCTGTTGATGCGTAACACCCCAAATGTGTGGTGCAATATTGTCAATTGACAGTTAATTACATCCATATACCATATTTCCTCTTTGAGGCACACTGAGTGAAGGTTTTACATTGATTCATTTAGCCGACACTGTTGTCCAAAGAAAGACACAAGTGAGGAAAGCTTGGGGGGTAGCTAGTAACCTGGGGGGTCGCGGGCCTTGCTCAGGGTCGTGACAGCTAGATGTTTACTCTGCCAGCCATACAGCTCGAACCCACAACCTTCTGGACATGAATTCATAACAAATAATAATAATAACTAATAATGTCGATCAAGTAAATAAACTGGATCTGTCTGAATTCTGCCTAATTGCCAAGTTGTCTGAAATGATATTCCAAATACTGTCAAGATAAAAAAAACATTAGAAATTCATTTTGCTATCTACCAAGCTAAAATATGCAAATAAATTCTGCTGGCTGACTAATAAGAATATATCCTGGCCTAAAATGTCTCTGTTATTTCACCATCCAATGAGGCTATTGAACTCACACACGCTGCATAGATGCATTTTATGCTGCTTCAAGTCCTACTCGGAAGATCCGACTAGAGAGTTGGAAAATTGTAATTACAACATGACGCGTGTTCAAGTGGTTAAGTCAGAGCAGAATGGAGGAGATAAGAAAGCAACTTTTTGATTTGCAGTATTTTTCATTGCTCCAATGCCAAAATGTATTTTGAGCATTAATTGAACTTTTCGTAATCCCTTGCTCAAACAGCAGGTAGTTGACAGGCTACATATATCAAATATTGAGACAAAAAACCCTCTTTTTTTTCACGGTACACTATTTAATAACAATCTCCTCAACATTCAAAACATTTCAGAGTTTTACAATGACACACTGCATAAAATTAATACTTTCAAAATAATTTGCCTTTCGCAGTAGAGCTATCTACTGACTGCTGTAATGACACGCCCCCAACTCGGGAATTCTGGGCTTAAAGAAAATCCCGAGTTTCCCACTGGTAAATACGACTTTCACGTGCTGTCATCTCGTATTTACGATTTTTCCGACCTAACCTGAAGGCAGCGATAGCCACCGACAGTGCTGCTGCCTAATGTTTGCCGGTGCATATATAAATCACTAATACACCAAGCATTTATAAATACTGTTGAAAATAAGTATTTCAGGCTTTGGAGTGGCTTAATGTGCTAGTTACAAACATCCTTTCAGTGGACACTGTCATCCGCTCAGCTTCTAACCTCAAGGGCAGAGTCTGATTAAATAACACCCATGGGGGTGCTTTAACAGCATTCGGACGCAAAAACCACAAGCTGCAGAGGGCCCCTTGTCAGGTCTCTGCCAGTTTGGGGAGGCCAATGTATTGTTTTTCCAATTTTCTGGCACAGCATTGTGGGAAATGTAGTTCTGTGTCTGTGATAGACAGCATATTGGTGGGCAGGCATGGCTAGCTTCAGGTGGCATGGTGGTGCCGTGGCCAGCACTACTGCCTCCCACCTGTAGGACCAGTGTTCATGTATCTGCTCAGGATCTACATGTGTGGAGTATGCATGGGCTCCCCATGCCATTATGGGGTTTCCCCCCACAGTCAAAAAACCATGCTGAGTTGAATTGCTGCCTTTCTTTGTAAAGAACTTTACCTAATTTGTGTCATTTGTCATAATACAAAATCATAAAATATATATTTTTTTAAAATGTGCATGCACTTTTGAAATGGGTTGGCACCCCATCCCGGGCTAATCTCTGTGTTGCACCCATGGCTTCTGTGATCAGGTATGGAAAATGGATGGATGGATGGTATGTTAATTTATCAAACTTGATAAACTGACATGAAAAAATGTGCAGTGCCACACAAATGCAATGCTTTGCCTAGCAGCTGTAAGCATTAGACAAACATCTCATTATGTTCAGGGAGTTCATGCACAAACGAAAGATGCCTCTTCTCATTAGTCTATATTTTCATTCAGTTTTTTTAACAGAATATTGGAAAACACAGAAAGTAAATGTCAGGACTCTGTGGCCATGATCTGAAGGTTCCTGGATCTAATCCCATAATCAGCAGAGTGATATCATTGTTTGGGCCCTTGAGCAACTCCCAATAGCCATAGGGACTGTCTGACCCCTGCTCTCTGATCCTCACTTTTATGTTTTGAACAAAAGCATCTGCAAAATAAATGTAAACAAAAACATAAAACATCTAGCCCATTGTGACCCTCTATTGCAGGGCTCTTCACCTCGATTCCAAATCCAGGCCGTGTTTTCAGTTCTCCCAGGTAGTTGTTTAATAATTACTGATTCTGATTGGTCAGAGGCTTCACACCTGACTGACAGGTAAAGGAAGGCTGGAAAACCAGCAGTGCTCGGACCTCGAGGACCGTGAGTTGAATAACCCTGCTCTATTGTAAAAGCAGTTGTAAGATGGAACTTCTAGAATTTCAACCAATCACTATTATTAAAAGACCATCAATTGAAAATATGTTGATAATGAAAGGCAACAGTGCTTAAGAAACAAAAACAGTTTGAATTTCATCTTTGGCATGCCTTCCTTTAAAATTCCTGCATTTATAGTTTCTTGATGCTTCCAGAAGAGGGCACTGAAAGACACAGAATTTTCTTTCTGCAATCTGCTGGAAAAGCCTGAGCATAAAGGATACTGAGTCTTCATTTGCTAAAAAATAAATGTCTTCAGTAACTATCATCTCAAGTGACCATCTATAGTCTTATGAAAATGCCGGCACCTCTCAGGTTTTTTAGGCTTGGCTTCAAAGCTTCAGCAGTGCAGCTTCGGCAGTGCAAAGGAAGCAAAGCCTTAGCCTCAGCACACAACTGGAATACAGTGACACACGACTGCCATTTTGCTTTAGGGTTGAACGTGAATGCCCTGTTCTCTAAATCTTCATGTTGAAGCAGCAATTAAACAACATGAAAGTTGTATTAGGCTTTGATTAAAAACATACTGGAGATCAACAGCACATAACATATGGTTATGTGTGCTAAGTCCTGCCTCTGAATATGTTATTCGTTATTAAAACAGAGTAAAATATCAGTGTAAAATATGCAGCCATTACAGGGGACTCACAGCACTGCAGACATCTTCATGAATTTATCCTGAATGTAATTCCCTTCCAATCCTAAAGCCTGAGATCAAACAACACTGCTAGAAAAGAAAATTGAAGACAAAGCAGTAAGATCGTATCTCAGGGGTGTCTAGACCAGTGGTTCTCAACCTTTTTTGCACTACGACCCACTTTTTATCATGCCAGCTCAGTCGATATAGAACACTATATCAGGTATAGGTTTAAATTAATGCTATAATCAAGCACAGTGAACACTGCAATTTACGCCAATCAATGCCTATCACACAAATCTGATTGGATGTGCCAGTGAATTTTAAATTAAGTATCTGTGGTTTGACTTCTTGCATTGGTTGTGTTCACTTATTTTGTGCTAAGCAGTTGCAGACCCAAGACCCATTTATATAGGTTAATTATAGGATTGGGGCTGGGAAATCTGATCGTGGATCAGCATAGGAGCTTGTTGGTTTCAAAATGCTTACATTTCCAACTCGCAACCCTTTCAGAGCTTGGGTCGCGACCCATGGGTTGAGAATCACTGGTCTAGACCACTGACCCAGAAATGGTCCTCATCCTGAAACTCCATGTGCTGTAAACGGTCACCACAAATACAGATGATAGAAAACTAGGCAACATGTTTGTGCATCATAGGTCGCTGCAGTCTGGTGGTCAGATGAGTGATTTTATTTAATTACCCAGCAAATGCTAATAATACAAATGACAGTAATGTTTTTAATATTTACAAAAGTTTTGATTATCACCTGCAATTTGATTCCAGCTTGCCACTTTTTTTTTTTAACTGGGATGTGCTCAGAACAGTACGCTTTTACAATGTATAAAAGAAAAAAATACATAAATAACCAACTGTTCCTTTACAAAAGAGGAAAAGGGCTTGGAGCTGCTTCAGCACCCTCGGCTTTCTTGACTGGTCTGCATATGATAGGAAACAAACACGGTGTAATGTTTCACACAGAAACCAGAAAGCCCACTTGATTCGATGAGATTCTCATAGGCTTCTCCCTGCTGTTTAGGCAACGCAGAAGGGCAGTAATTCTTTCCAGAAAGGCTGATATTGAGCTGGGTTTAACACTATCATTCAGGTTCTGAGACAGAGTAAGCACAAAACATTTTTTGCAGAAAGCTCTTGATATGAGCGCTACCTGTCTGGAGTATGGGTTATCAAGGATGAATATAATAACAGGAAGGTTTAGCTTTTAATTTTATCTTTTAATAAAATAATTTCACTGAACATGCCTCAATTCAGTCTTTGCAAGTTTCAGAGTTCATTGACTAATGTTATTCTTAAAAAAAATCTGTAATCTAAAAATTTGTTAATAACTGAAGAATAGACACAAGATGTAAACACGACAAACATGCATCAAATTTATCATCACATGCAAATAATACAGATACTCATTCTTGAAGGGGTGGTTCATTAGGTTTCTGTGCCTGTGATCGGAAGGTTTCTGGTTCAAATCCCAAGATTCAATTGCACATCACTTTGGATGGAAGAATTTTCCAAATAATGAAATCGTTCATTTAATTATTCATATAGGTGTTTGTTGTTGTACAGTGCCTGTTTTAATTTTTTCCTGTACTTTCTTTTCATATACTCTCAGGAAGAATTATCCTCTGTTTGGTGAATGATGGAGAATGATCCCATAGCTGGGAAAACGTTAAAATGTTAAGCCTGGGAACTTTGAGCCTAGTTGCCGGCAGCTACTTGCAGATTCCTAAAGGGACCTGGGCTATAGCTTTCTCCCCTCATGCATATTAATTTGAGCAGTAGCGCATTTCCATGTCATTTTCACTGAGCCAGCATAAATGCGCGTGACCAATGGGGAAATCCGGAGGTAGCTTTTGGAGGGAAAACTATGTGACCCTCAAGCTTCGGCAGAGTCGTGCATTTGAATAGTCAGCAGGCTCCGTGAATACCTCTTCACTTACCAACACTGTGCTCCTCTGTCATCTCCAAGGCTGAAAAATGACTTTACAGTCCTTTCCAACCTTGGTTCCCTAAACCAATTTGTTCCATTGATGTCCGTTGTTGGGCTGGTTTCCAAGACAGTCTACACTCTCTCTGTCTCCTACTCTGTTGAATATGCTATGGACTTGGCGTCAGTTCCTGGTGTTAAATGGACATAAAACAAGAAAACATATTAAAATAAGTCCAGGTGCCAGAGGACCCTCTTACTTACCCCTCATACTAATGTATAGCACTTTGTAAAATGATTTTGTTACACTATCAATTCTCCTACCATATTCGACTTGCTACATGTTGATCATTAATCTTTATTAAAATAAAGATTGTGCTATATATCTTAACTGCACTATGAGAATGAAACATGTATATCACATAATTATTATCATTATTATCACATTCAGCTCACTGAACTCATT